ATCCAGTTTTATAAAGAAACTGAGCTCACACAAAGGTGATCTCAGCATGTGGGATCCCATGCCTTTAATCCTAGCACTAGAGAGGAACGCAAGGCGGGAGGAAACAGGAGAACGGTACAGTCTGAGGTCTGGTGGAGACAGATGCTGTCTGGAGATGCTGTCTGGAGATGCAGCCTGAGGACAGGATCGCCCTTTCCGTTTGAGCATTGGTAGAGGTGAGAACTCTCTAGTGGCAGGCCACTTTGCTTCTCTGATCTTCAGCTTTAAGCCTAATACCTGTCTCTGGGTCTTCATTATTAATACCAAATCGAATTTGTGCTACATAGTCCTTCCAAATAAGCCCATACAACTGGGATTAAATACCCCTTTCAGATTGAATATTGTTTGGTCCAAAATGGAGACTCAATGTAGCTTTATCGTTGCCTTTTTCCATTGACTGATGGATTAATACATCATATTGACTTAAATTACTGGAAAATCATTAACCAATACAGGACTTCTAAAACGGTCGTTGGAATCCTATCCTTGGAACCTCAATACTCCATCTTCTCTTGCACTTTACTTTGGGGACAATTCTAAGAGCTCCCTAAGGAACACAAGGCTTTGGTATCTAAGTCCGAACCTTCATTCTAGTCTCCAACTATCAACTTTCCCTTTAGCAGGCATTTCGCTATATTCTGTGTAGTGTAGCTACCTGGGGAAATGACAGAGGCAGTGACAGAAATCCCAGTGCACACATTGCAAAAAACCATCGGCATCCCTGCGCTCCTACCTTGATACAGAGTAATACTGTATGCTTTCTGTGCGCTACCCATGGGAAAGACAAGGTGTACAGACTGCAACCAGAACTCAAGCGAGACCACACACCTCACAGTCTTTCCCACGGTCTCCAGAGGCTCTCCGGAACCTAATCTTCCATCTCAGAACTGTCAAAATGAAATTCTGCCGTCCTAAGTAAAAAGAATGAGGGTGGGGACTACATTGGGCCCATTTTGACCCATGCATAGCGCTGCCACAGATCCAGTGTTCGCAGTATGACGTTATCGCCAAGAGCCCAGTCCCGTTCAGTTATCCAAACCTAATCAGAGCCAGTCATGCGCCCCCCCCCCACTGTGCACACCCCACACCGAGCCAGCCAGGCACTCCCATGAGCGAGCAGTTGGCAGCCCAAAGTCCCACGAGCCCCTTTCCCGTTCCCGGAGCTCGGAAGAACCGCCTCCACTCGGGCTCGGGTCAGCTCAACTCAGCGCACAGGGAAAGGAAAAAGATGACCACAACGCCAGAGGAAGGTGACCCCGAAGCCGAGCTTCCAGGGCCAGCCTGGAGGTCTGGGTGGAACTAATTCAGGCCCCAGCCAAGAGGACTCCTGTACAAGCGCTGGGCGAGTGACAGACGCCCAGCATCTAACGGGCTGCCCCAGAGGCTCCTGGGAGTGCGAGCCCCCGGGATGTGTGCGCAGGCGCAGAAGGCTGAACCGCAGCAGGAGGGGGGATGAGGCTGCTGGGAACTGGGGCGTCTGGAGAGGCTGAGGACTGCAGCGGATGCTTCGGATCCCGAGAGCGACAGAGAGAGCGAATCCAGATGGGGAGGCCTGGGAGGAAACCGGGAGTCCGAGCCGGGCCTGGTAATTTGGGGGGGCAAGAAAGCGGGACCGGACACTCAGCCGTAGCACAGGGCCTCGGGCGTGGTCCGTGGGCGTGACCCTGAGGAGGACTGCTGGGGACCCGGCGGGTGCAGGGGTAGTTTGCGTGTTTAAGCGCGAGGAAGCTCTGTCGCTGGGAGCAGGACCCTGGGCAGCACGGATGTGGGGTGTCTGTTGGGGTTTGTCTCCCAGCACTCCTCCTGCTTATGTGTTTGGGTTATTTTGGGGGGAGGGGGCGATTTCCTTGGATGTGTGAAAAGATGGGTGGTGGAGCCTTTTGCTTAGGGGTCCTGCGGCATGCGTCTATTTTTAGATTAGGTGTGACTCGTATTTGAGACGGGAGAATTGAAAGTGAGCTGCGAACGTGATCGTGAATGACTTTGCCTGGAATTGTGTCACCGCCTGTGGTCGTGAATTACAGGTGAAGCTGTAGTTTGGTGGTTTCCTGAAGGATGTCTGAAAGGTTGTCACTAGGCTCACGTGTGTTCTTTAAGTGATTGAGGTGTGCTGTATGATCTCATATGTGTACATTTTGTAAAAGACAGAGATTCATTACGTATTCCCAAGTGCAGGGATTCCTGTAGTGCGTGCACCACCAAGCCTGGAAGTTGTGCACTGTTTGACTATCAGGTTAGTTGCCTGCAACTCTGCCTCACAGGTTTCTAAGTCGTAACTTAGAAAGTACGATGGCACTGGTACTGGGGAGGAATCGGTAAGATTTTCATCATTCCCAGTGGCTAGGCCGATTACCCGGAAGCACGATGTTCGATGCAAACAGCGTTTAAATGAATGGCGTTGCATGGGAGCCTGCAGGAAGGGTAGCACTCATAACTACCACTCTTCAGGCACTGGTGTGAATGGATTTTTCTGTTCCTGAAAATTATAAAAATTATTTAGCACACTTTTATTTCCAAGACCAGCCTCATCTTAGTGATTAAAGTAGCCTTGCCAACCAGAACGTTCACTGTGGCAGTCAGTACTTCAGGCTTTGCTTAGCCAAACGGGAGCCAGCAAATCGACAAGGGTGGTCAATTTCTTTTCCGTGTCCATATCTCCATTACTAAAATGTGTTATGCAATACTTACTTCTTGAATTAACTATTAGTAATAAGTAATGTGTACATATTATACCTATGTAACTGTCCTTTTAAAGGATGTGTTTATTTTCATGCGCATGCGTGTTTTGCCTGCATGAGTATATTGCACCATGTGTGTACCCTGGTGCCCACAGAGGTCGTAAGAGGGCACACTCCTCCCGCCCTGCCAGAGCTAGAGTAACCAGTGTCAGTGAGCGACCATGTTAAGTGCTGGGAACTGAACCTAAGTCCCCTTGCAAGAGCAGCAAGTGCTCTTCGGCACTAAGCCGTTCTCCAGCCCTTCGCTGTGCTTCGTAATAGTTTGAGACAAGAGAGTCAATGAGGACATGAAATGGAACGTAGAAATTCCAGATATTTGCAAACTGTGGGGAACTGTCGCATATGACCAGGTCTTTTGAAGCATATGGAGTATGTTCCAGTACAGGATATGATATGTGATAACGATGGTGTTTGCTTTGCCTGGTGGTGGTGGCACACACCTTTAATCCCAGCACTTAGGAGGCAGAGGCAGGCGGATCTCTGTGAGTTCGAGGGTGGCCTGGTCCACAGAGTGAGTTCCAGATCAGCCAAGGGTACACAGAGAAACTCTGTCTTGAAAATAAAAAAAAAAGATGAACTTAACTATTAGTCGAGGGAACATTGATTATACAATGGGAGACATAGATAGACACTGTTTACAGGAGGAGATTCTCATGGTGCGAAGCCAAATAAGAGAAGCTTTTGCATCTTGAGCAGAGAAGAGGATCTGAGAGTATAATTCAGTGATAGAACACTAGGGGAGAAAAATCAAAACATGGAGTCAGTCAATCAGAAAACACCCACAGTGGAGATATAACAAACCAAATATAATTACAAGAAAGGGGAAATGTTAAACATATTAAAGGCAGCTCAGCACAATAAGAAATATATACCAAGCCAGGTGGGGGTGGCATACAGCCCTGATCCCAGCACTAGAAAGGCAGAGGCAGGCGGGTCTCTGTGAGTTCAAGACCAGCCTGGTCTACAGAGTGAGTTCCAGGACAGCCTCCAAAACTACACAGAGAAACTCTGTCTCAAAAAACCAAAAGAAGAAAAAACAGAAATATATACCTTTAGACTATAGCACAGAACTGATCAAGATAAAGGCTTCTCACCTGCGTGCATGGGGGCTTGGGAAGGTTATGTCATGTCCTACTGGTGATGGTTCCCGTCAACAGAAAGAACATGAAGTTGTGGTTTGGGCAGTGCTGGGCAAAGTTCCTGGAGTCCTGCTTATGCTAGCAAGTGCTGTAACTCCGAGTCACATCCCCAGACCTGTTCAGTAAGCCTGTGTGCCTCGGGAAATTGGAGAGTGCTGAACAAAATCTTGCATTTGCAGGCTACCACAGGTTCCACGGAATCCATCCTAGCTCAGCGAGAGGCAGGGCTTCTGATCCGGGGGAGGGGAAAGCAGGACGTGTTTGCTTCTCCACAGCCCTGTGTCCTGGGTTTCGGGAAGGCACTCGGAGAGGCGTGTGTGGACACAGGGGAAACATGTACAGGTTTGAGTTATTCCGAGAGATCTACTCTGAGCCTGTTTTCTTCCTGGCTCCTTATGTTCCTCCATCTTTGCCTTTACAGGACTCTTTCCTGTTCCGAAAGAGAAGCCAAGACAACGGGGTTCGCCTCTCACAAATCTCAAAGGCACGTCTAAGGTGAGATAGTTCCTTTCTTTTCCTTCAGGAAATAGGAACATTTGCTTAGCAATGTTGCTTCAGCTGCCTGGATATTAGAATTTGCTGCCATGAAACATTTTTCAGGTCAGGGCCAGGGTCTCTAGTTAAGGTCCAGATTGGAGACGCAGGTGACGCTGGGCTAAGTAGTAACTTAGCTCTTAACCAGGCGTGTGGCTAACTAGTGACTTAGTTCTGCACTCTGATCTTCAGACAAGGTTTATTTGTTGGATCATAAACAAAATATCACCATACTCTTGCAGCCGAATTGAAGTTGATGATTCCTGCAGCCATGGCCTAAAAGGCAGCAACAATTCAAAAAGAGGACAATAGGGTTTCTCTGTGTGGCCCTGGCTGTCCTGGAACTTGCTCTGCAGCCAGGCTGGCCTAGAACTCACAGAGACCCGCCTGCCTCTGCCTCCCGAGTGCTGGGATCAAAGACATGCATCACCACGGCCCAGCTAGATTTCTTTATGTATATGAGTGTTTTGCCTGCATGTATGTATGTGTCTGATGTGTGTGCATGGTGCCCGTGGCGGTCAGAAGAAGGTGTCCGTCCTTTGGAACTGGAGTTTATTACCATGTGGGTGTTGGTCCCAGGTCCTCTGTAAGAGCAATAAGTGCTCTTAGTTACTGAGCCATCTCTCTAGCCCCTTCTCTAATCTTCTATTGATTCTTGTCTTCCAGAAGTTCCTACCAACTGTGACCTGTCAGGGGAAACCTGCTCAGTATTCAATACTATTGTAGGTTTATCCTTTTCTTTTTTCTGTCTTCTAAAAGTTTACATTCAATTGCAGGAGAAGAAGATACATGTGCTAGTCCACTCTTGAAGTAGTCTATCCTTGAATCAACCTCAGTACCTTATCCTATTTTCATTTTTTCTTTCATAAAATTCCCCGTCTCCCAATCCTTCAAGTATTGGTTTTCCCCCAAGTTTTAATTGGTTCACGTTTTTGACATCCTTGTTTCCTGTATACACAGTTACATTTGCTTTGGAAGACCACACGGAATTTGATTCTGTGACTATCAGATACCTCAGCCCATGCTAGGCATCTGTCTAGACAGAGCACCGGGACCACATATTCAGCATGCAGGGCCTGGGAATGTAGCTCTGTGAGCAGCGCTGCTTAGCATGCTTGGAGCTCCTGGCTCAATCCACAGCGCCACATTAGCTGGACATGGTGGTACAGGTCTGTATTCTAAATGTCCTGAAACAGGTTAGAGACCCACCTGGAATATGTAAGACCTTGTCTCAAAACCAAACAAACTGTAATAGTCACCACCCACCCATTCCATACACTCATCAGTTCCTTCACGACCTTCTGTGGTCCCGCCTGATGTTTCCTCTGCTTCCTGTTCTAATATTCTTCTCTTTCTTTCTTTTTCGTTGTTTGTCTTGAGACAGGACTTCCTTGAATGGTCCTAGTGATCTGGAACTCACTGAGTAGCCAAGGCTGGCCTTGAACCTGCAGCAGTCCTCCTGTATCTGCCTCCTGAGTCCCGGGATTAGAGGCATGCACCACTACAGCCGGCTCTCTCCACTTCCCCTCTCCCGGCTCTCACATACTTACTTATCCAGAGAACCCAAAAGCTGTGCCCGTCCTCTTCAGCCTACAGGCGGTCATAACCAGTTCTCTTAAACTGCATCATGTGGGAACCAGTGGTCCTTCTTAGCCCACTAATCTCTGCAGCGTAATCTCCAACAGTGGTTACCTTCTCCAGTCTTGAGGAGTACTACCTCCAGTAGCCGGAATGGTGACACACACCTCCAGTCTTCAGGGAATCTGAGGTGGGGAGACCATGAGTCAGACTCGGGCTTGGTTGGTTTGTTCTTAAGGAACATTACCATATAACATGTATTATGTTTCTTCGTGTTTAATTTGCATTCCTCGCTCTCTGTCTCTGTCTTTGTGTGTGTCTCTGTGTGTGTGTGTGTGTGTGTGTGTGTGTGTGTGTGTGTGTGTGTGTGTGTGTGTGTGTGTATTAATGTGGGTGCCTGTGGAAGCCAGAAGAGGCCAGCAAATCCCCTGGAGATGGAGTTAGAGGTGGCTGTAAGCTTCCAGATGTGGGTGATGGGACCTAAATTCTGTCTCTTCTACAAGAGAGGTGAATGATTTTAGTTGCCGAGCCGTCTCTCCAGCCCACTTTGTGGTCAGGCCTGTGTGAATTGCAGGAGAATATACAAGATCATACGTTGGAAAGAAAAAAATTACTAAGTGTGCATTCAAGAGCCATAGTGATTAAGTGTATAAATTGTCACTAATGCTTATTGATGGTTTATCAGTAATAATATGTTGGAAATGTGATCAGGTTCATTTTTATTATTAAAATTTTTGTTGGTTTTTGAGACAGGATCTTTCTATGTAACCTTGGCTATCCTGGAACTCTATATGTAGACCAAGCTGACTTTGAACAGGCAGAGGTTCACCTGCTTCTGCCTCCTGAGTGCTTAGATTAGAGGTATCCCATGAGTTTTTTTTTAATAGTGCCTTTTATTCCCGCAATAGAGATTTATTCTAAGTACAAAATTTTGTATGCTCAATGAAGCTTCAGATTACAAAATGAAAATTTTTCTTTGCTTTGTACATTTTTCCTCAGTGTGTTTTGATACCTATTGAGTGAGTTTCTCATACGCCTCTCCTTGTAACTTCTCCTGAGCAGAATCAAGGTTTTATCATTTTGGTCCATCTGTCAACCATTTGAATTCAAAACAAAACTGTGTGGTATAAGAGTATTTATATTTTAAACCTGAGATAAAAGGTCAATACTTCTGGATGTATTTTTAGAAAGAGAGGAGAGAGAGAGTGAGAGAAAGAGAGACAGAGAGAGAGGGAGAGAGGGAGAGGGAGAGAGAGAGAGAGAGAGCTTAGCACAAACAGCACAGGGAAGGGGTGGTCCTGTGATTAAGAGTACTGGTTGCAGACATCACATTGGTGACACATACCTTCAATCCCAGCACTCAGAGGCAGAGGCCTTCAAGACAGCCACTACGTAGACGGACTTAGTCTTAATCTTCTTTTCTTCAAAGAAGACCACTCGTGCTCTGGCAGAGGACTGTGTTCAGTTCCCAGCACCCACACAGAGTGTAGCACCCGTAACAGCCTGTCACTCCATTGGCTCCTCGCCTCAGACACCGTAGCTACGTGGTAAACATACCGTATCCAGGCAAATAACTTACACACGTAAAATAAACATAAGCAACCCCCAAAGTAAACAAATCTTCTTAAAAGGTAAAGTTTTACAAACTAGTGCATCCTCTGACCATTCCCAGCCTAGTCCCCCAACATTTAGTTGTAAACCGTCTCCAGTAACTCCAGGATGAACTGCTATAGCGTGTGCCCTTACAGGGATCCGTGTCGTTCAAGGATGTGACTGTGGACTTCACCCAGGAGGAGTGGCAGCAGCTAGACCCCGCTCAGAAGGCCCTCTACAGGGACGTGATGTTAGAAAACTACTGCCACTTCATCTCTGTGGGTAAGTGTCACTCGCATCCTTTCAAGAGTTCGAAACCGGGCTCTGATGCTTGACCAGCCAGCACATTAGCAGCAGAGATGCCTCCTCTGTTCTGGGGCTTGCTACATAGACGAGGCTGGCCTTGAACTCACAAAGATCCTCCTGCCTCTGCCTCCTGAGCGCTAGGATTAAAGGCGTGCACTCCCATGCCTGGCCCAATAATCGATTTTTTAGACTTATTTTTATTTAATATATGTGAGTATTTTGCCTGCAGATCTGTGAACCATGTGTGTGCTTGATGCCTGCAGAGGCCAGAAGAGAGTGTTGGATTCCCGGAACTGGAATTATGGGTGGTTGTGAGTGGCCGTATGGGTGCTGAACATTGAACCTGGGTCCTCTGGGAGAGCAGCCAATGTTTCTAACTGCTGGGCCAGTCTCCAGCAACAGAGTATATGATTTTTTTGTGTGGCTGCCTTTTTCCAGACAGGCTCTCTCTGTGTAGCTTTAGAGCCTGTCTGGGAACTCACTCTGTAGACCTGGCTGGCCTCAAACTCACAGAAATCCATCTGCCTCTGTCTCCAGAGTTCTGAGATGAGACGCACGTTCCATAGAACATATGAGTATTGACTTTGGTTAGACATTAATTTATACCCCACGTAGCACCGTGAGGCTGTCTTTCTCAGTAGTTTAGATCAAGTCTCACTTTTCTCTTTTCCCTTCCTTTCTTCCTTCCCTCCCTCCCTCCCTCCCTTCCTTTTCCTTCATTATAGGATTTCACATAACAAAGCCTGATATGATCCGCAAATTGGAACAAGGAGAAGAGCTATGGACAGAGAGAATTTTTCCAAGTCAAAGTTATCTGGGTAAGTTGTAGATGTAAAAATTATGTGGGATGGATGAAGGCACAGCTCAGTGCTAGAGCGCCTAAGACACTCAAGGACCTGGGTTTGATTCTAATGCTTCATAAGAAAACAAAAGTTTGCCGGGCCGTGGTGGCTCACACCTTTAATCCCAGCAGAGGCAGGAGGATCTCTGTGGGTCTAGGCCAGCCTGGTCTACAAAACTAGTTCCAGGACAAAAAAATCCTCCAGGTGCTGAATCTCAGGTATTGGACAGCTTTGAATATTTGGGGTATCTATTTTAGAATTGCAGTAAAGTGCAGTTTACCATCTTTATCATTTTAAGCATATAGTTCAATGGTATGAACTCTATTCACTTTTTTTTTCTTGCAACCATCACCACTGTGGGGCTCCAGAGTCGTCATGTTACGAAACTGAAACCATGTCAGACAGTGGTGGCACACACCTTTAATCCCAGCACTCAGAGTTCGAGGCCAGCCTGGTCTACAGAGTTCCAGGACAGCTAGGGTTTTTTTCCTAATTTAACGGCATACCGGGACTGCGTTTTGTTGGTTTTCAATATCAGGAGATAAGTTAAGGGGCCAGAATGTAGACCGGTTGGAATGCTTGCCTGCCATGGTTGAAGCCCTGGCTTGGATACCCAGCACTACACAAGCTGTGGAGGGTGGTGATACCTCTTTAGAACTTTCCATGTGTGTGTGGAGAGAAGGGTCAGAAACCAAAGTCACCCACCTTGGCTACATAGCAAGTTCAAGGTCAATATCCTCATGGGGCCTTATCTCAAAAACAAACAAACAAAAGGGTTATTCTATTCTTTTTGTAAACCATAATAACAACACATCAAGCATTTTGTGTGTGAATATATATAATATGTATGTATGCACATGTTATACATATGACCATTGCTTCTATGCATGCACATGTTATACATATGACCATTGCTTCTATGCATGCACATGTTATACATATGACCATTGCTTCTATGCATGCACATGTTATACATATGACCATTGCTTCTATGCATACATATGTTATATATATGACCATTGCTTCTATGCATGCACATGTTATACATATGACCATTGCTTCTATGCATGCATATATTACATATATGACCATTGCTTCTATGCATGCATATATTACATATATGACCATTGCTTCTATGCATGCATATATAGGCTTAAAGTATTACTAATTAATTATATTCTTTCCTAGAAGATGAAGATGTTTTGGTGAAGTTAAAAGACTGTCAAGACAAGCATTCTAAATCCATTGTAATCATCAACCACAAGAAATTAATTAAGGAGAGAAGCAGCATTTATGGGAAAACACTGGGCAAGAACCATATTATTTCCAAAACACTATGTGAATATAAATCTGGTGGGAAGGTTTTGAAAAATATTTCAGAATTCATTAATAGAGATATAAACCCCAGAAGAGAGAAATTCGGTGATAATGGATGGGAGAAATCAGTCCTGGATTCCAAGCATGAGAAAACTCATGCGGAAGCCACCTTCCATAAGCAAGTACAAAGGGGTCTCGGTCCTAAACAGCTGGCTCACCACCCAGGGACCCAGATTCCAGAACAGCCTTTTGAATGCAACGAATATGACAGCTCCTTCCTTATGAGAGGAATGGTGTTTCCAAATAATAGAGCTCCCCTAGCAGATGGAAGCTTCAACTTCAACAAAGACGAGATGGCTTTTTTAGAAAAGTCAGACGTTGGTATTCATCCGCATAGTCTTATGGAAAAGAGATCCTCCACGTACAACAAATACGGGAAATTCCTCTGCAGAAAGCCAGTTTTTGTCATGCACCCCCGACCTCAGATGGAGGAGAAGCCCTTCCAGTGCCCTTACTGTGGGAACAGCTTTCGCAGGAAGTCCTACCTCATTGAGCACCAACGGATCCACACGGGCGAGAAGCCCTATATCTGCAGCCAGTGTGGAAAAGCCTTCCGTCAGAAGACCGCCCTGACGCTTCACGAAAAAACACACACGGAGGGGAAGCCCTACCTTTGTATGGACTGTGGGAAGTCCTTCCGCCAGAAGGCGACCCTCACCAGACACCACAAGACACACACGGGGGAGAAGGCATACGAGTGCACTCAGTGTGGAAACGCCTTCAGGAAAAAGTCGTACCTCGTCGACCACCAGAGAACTCACACGGGGGAGAAGCCCTATCAGTGCACTGTGTGTGAGAAGGCGTTCATCCAGAAAACAACCCTGACTGTCCACCAGAGGACTCACACCGGGGAGAAGCCCTACATCTGCACCGACTGTGGCAAGTCCTTCTGTCAGAAGACAACTCTCACCCTCCACCAGAGAATTCACACCGGGGAGAAGCCCTACATCTGCAATGACTGTGGCAAGTCCTTCCGCCAGAAGGCAATCCTCACCGTCCACTACAGAATCCACACGGGAGAAAAGTCCAATGGCTGTCCCCAGTGTGGGAAAGCCTTCAGCAGGAAATCTAACCTCATCCGCCACCAGAAAACTCACACAAGAGAAAAGCCCTATGAGTGTAAAGAATGCGGAAAATTCTTCAGTTGTAAGTCAAACCTCATTGCCCACCAGAAAACTCACAAGGCAGAAAACGTGAGAAGTCAGTGAATGGTGTGATTTTTTTTATTTGTTTTTTTTTAGCTTTTTGAGACAGGGTCTCACTATGTAGCCTTGGCTGCCCTAGAGCTTGTTATATAGACCAGGCTGGCCTCGAACTCACAGAGATCCGCCTGCCTCTGCCACCCCAGTGCTGGGGTTAAAGGCGTGCACCACCACCTTTATTTTCTTTATTTTAGTACTGAGCATTTTTAAGTTCTATTCCTTATATTTACTGCTTTGCTAACCTGTCATACACACAAATACTATTGGATAAATTAAGTGACAAAAAAATGAAGGCTTCATTTTTGTATTACTGGACTCAGCAGACTACAGTGACCTCTGATGAACTACTATACACATGTCATTTGCTTATTTTCAGTCTCATGAGGTATATTACTTGTGAATCAGTAACAGACCAATGGCCAAATGCAGCTTGTCTGTATGAAATGAAAATCGTTACCTCCTCAGCATTAACTACAGTTCCGACTTAACGCTTTGTAAATTGGGATCCACACATTATAAACCTTACATAAAATCGATTGCTTACCAAATGTTCTCTCCTTCACGCACAGCTCGCTGCCTCGGTCCGGTCACGAGTGCATGTGGCAGAAGTTCATTATTTATCCTGTGTAGAATCCCATTGTATAAGTATATCACTTTTACCCCTTCTGCTGCCAGTGGACTTTTGCAGAGTTGGCTGCTTGAGGTCATAATAAAAATATACATGTACGCACTTTCCTGTGTATATTCATGGGGCGGAACTGCCGTGTCTGTGGGTTCAGTCAGCTTTAGTACATACTGCCAGTAACTCTGAACTTTGATAACAGGAGGTAATTTTACTCAGAAGAAAACTACGGCAAATTTCCCCAATATGACAATGGTTCGGATGACAGAATTCTGGTCTGGAGAGAGGGTTCAGCGGCCCTGGCTGCTCTTGCAGAGGACTCAGGTTCAGTTCCCAGCTCCCACATGATGGCTCGCAACTGTCTGTACCTGGAGTTCCAGAGGATCCAATACTCTCCTCTGGCTTCTGCAGGCACCAGGCGTTCATGCGGGTGTGTATGCAGATGGGCAGGAAAAGCAGTCATTCACTGACCGCACGGAATTCATGTGAGGAGGTAACTCTGGCAATAATATGGTGGAGAATGGGAAGCGAAGAGAATCGTGTACAGAGAGAGGCTTTTAGTCAGAGCACAAATCTTAATACAGTAATGTCAGAAACTTGGGGTGGCCTTTAGCCACAGCTAATACCAAATGTGCTAAGGAAAGAGAAGCATTCAGCATTCCCTTTGATCAGCACTGGAAAACCTACAAGATGCTTGAAACTGGAAGTGGGTGGGAAAATACAGCTTTTACCCAAGACCTATAGATGGTACTACTCAAGTCAAATGGCAAAGCGTGTGTGTGTGTGTGTGTGTGTGTGTGTGTGTGTGTGTGTGTGTGTGTGTTCCAGAGAACAACCTCAGCTTCTCAGAAGCTGGCCGTCTCGTTTTATGAAGGGTCTCTACAGATTGGAGTTCAGCAAGTAGCTAGATTGCCTGGCCGGAGACCCTTCCCATCTCCACCTCCAATCTTCAGGCTTACAAGCTTGTGCCACCACACCTGACTTTTTCACGTGACTTCTGGGAGGTAACTCGGGTCCTTATGCAAGCACTTTATCAACTGAACGGCCTCCGAGCCACAGGGGGATCAGTGGGATTTCAGGTCCTGAGCTTGGGCCTTTTACTCTGTAGGGCAGGGACTGGGTCTGCCTGTTAAGGCAGTTAGAGTGTTGTGTGGGTGGAACCTGGCGGCTGGAGGGCCTCAGGGGCAGGGCCTGGTCACTCGTGTGCCACAAGGGGCTTACATTCCCCCCTTTTGTTTATTACTGATAAACACTAAGGAGTAGGGAAAGGAGGCAATATCAGACTACTTCCTGTTGAACAGGGACAGCTAAGTCCTTTGACCAAGCTTGACCATCATCAGGGTATAATTGGGAGCTGCAGGCTTCGGCCTTCATAGCCAGGGCTTGTAATCCTGTAATAGCAATTGATTAAAAGTCTGGTTAGGCTGGGCATTGGTGCCGCACGCCTTTAGTCCCAGCACTGGGGAGGCAGAGGCAGATGGATATCTGTGAGTTCAAGATCAGGTGGTCTACAGAGCGAGTTCCAGGACACGGGGGAGAAACCCTGTCAGAGAAACCAAGTCTCAAAACAAAAACAAAAACAAAATGTCTGGTTAAAAATCTTTTGGAGCTGGGCAATGATGGCACACGCCTTTAATCCCAGCACTCGGGAGGCAGATCTCTGTGAGTTCGAGGCCAGCCTGGTCTACAAAGCTACACAGAGAAGTCCTGTCTCGAAAAAACAAAAAAGAACAAAAAACTCAACTTATGGATCTGTTGTTGAAATCTAGACAAGAAGTTTATAAACTAGGATTCAAATAGTAGGATTAAGAAAAAGGTGTGCTGCGATATTTTGATCACACTCGGGCACTCCTGAGACTGTCCAATGAGGTTATCCCTTGAACTGGGGGTGTAGCCAGTGGCTAGCTGACAGGCATAGGCCACAGAGAAGCCAGCAACTTGGATAGAGAAAACACACAGGAAGGAACCGGCTGGCACTGGAGTTTGAGCTTCCTCTTGGTTCTGGAACAAGGGAAGAGGCATATCTCTTGGGGTGTCTCTGGCCAAAAAACAAGGTCAACTAGTTGCTACTCAGCCTCTCTGAGCTAGTAGATCTTCACCCCAGCCTTTGACTTCTGAATCTTATTGATAAATAGACTTAATTTAAACCTGCACATCATGGCCACTGCAGAGCCTGGGCCTCAGGACCAGAAGCCCTGCCAGGCTGCCACCTGCAGGGATCTGAGTGAGGAACTGTCGGACAGAGACGATAATTAAAATATCAGTAGATTCATGTGCAGTTACTAAGCCAACAGGAAAATATCAGGAGGAGAGGGCCAGGTTGTTATAGCACACACCTTTAATCCCAGAGCACTCAGGAGGCAGAGGCAGTCGGATCTCTGTGAGTTGGAGGCCTGATGGAGGAAGTCCTGTGTATATGTCAATAAAACACTGTTGGCCAATAGGAAAGCAAGATAGGTGGGACTAGGAGTCCAGGAGGACTCTGGGTAGGAGAAACACAGAGAGTCAAGATGTAACGCCATGGGGTAGGAAGCCTGGAACTATTCTCTGGTAAGAGAAATACTTAGATTAACAATTATGGGGTAATTACTTAAGTCAGAGCTAGCCAGTAAGAAACAAGCAAGGCCAACAGCTTCATAATTAATATAGCCTCCTGTGTGTTTATTTGGGACTGATGCGGCTGTGGAACCAGGCTGGCGGGAAGGCTTCTCTCAAGGAAAAGGTTTCCCTTTACAGAGGCCAGCCTGGTCTGCAGAGCAAGTTCCAGGACAACCAGGACTACACAGAGAAACCTGTGTCAAAAACCAAAAAAGAAAAAAAGAGAAAAAGAGAAGAGGAGTTAAGAAGGGTAGTATCCAGTTCTATTTTGGACTGTCAATGATCCACTATCCAGAGGCATTGAGCTGTTTCTTACATTTTTAGAGATCCATCTGGACTTGTTGGCTCTTGTCTTTTGCTGTACCCAATTAGTTATTGAAGAGGCAGCATTTCTCCCTGAGGAAGAGACCACCTCCCTCTGCTGGGAGTAAATCTAATCCTTGCTGGTTTTGTAGCACTGTGACAGCCAGTGAGTCTGTTTGGCTCTAGAGGGTAAGGATGGTCTGAGCCTCTTACTGGAGATCCTGGATGAACTGAGAGGAAAACTGACAGCAGTTAGGGAAGTGGTTAGTCCTGCCTCTCCAGTGGTGATGTGGTGGTTATACCCAGGACTTCTAGAAAGGGTAGGATCCGACTATCTGTCATGCCATGCCAGTATAAACCCTGTGTTGGGAATGCTGGTCTTCACCAGGTACCAGTCCTAATTTTAGAAAAAGGAACACCATGACACAAGTCGCAGACTACCCAGCAGATAGTCAGTGGTAAGTTGGAAGTGCCACCAAGGATGGAGGCAGTGTGGATGTTCAGACATAAGGTCTGGGCGGTAGAGCTCAGAGTCAAAGTATTACAGTCTGAGGGATCCAGTGTGCCCATAACGTGTGTCCCGAGGAGTTAAGACAGTCTGCAAAGAGTATAAGAGGTGGTGGTGGCATTTGGCTGGAAGCAGCTAATTAGAGGCAAGGTGACAGAGTCTAGTAGTCCAGTGGGTGAAACTGTGAATGATGGTGATGATTTTGATCCAGGAGAACAGAAAGCCAGCATTCTCCAAAGCAACCAGGCAGAGTGATATTCAGTAGCTGATGTTTAACTAGGGTGGCCCAGGTTTGCCCCACGGTATTTGCAGAGTGCATATTGGTAGCCTCTTTTAGTTTCTGGCTAATTTTACGGTGATCTTTGTTTTGGTCATAGAGAAAACAGTCACGGGGGTAAGCCCCAGTGAAGGAGAGATGGATAAGGGAGTTGTACAGGACTGAATTGGCCTTTGACAGCCTAACACAGAGCAATTTCCTGAGCCTATGATGATGGGCTATGGTTGGAGGTGGGAGTCTCTTGGACAACAGACATCGTATGGAAGAGCTACCCCGGGCAAGTGTGGAGAGGAAGAAATAGAGGAGGAGAGAGCAAATTTAGACACAAAAGAGTTTTAGATCATTTGTGCGGTGGCAGAAGTTGTCACTACTGAAAACCAAACGTCAGTTTTGACTACTGAACTGTACAGAGGCCATAGCTGTTGCTTGAATATCTAAGTTCACAGAGAACGAGAGGAAGGGCCAAAAAATGAACTCCACCAGAGGGAATTTCTGTAAGTTCTAAGTGGGAGCTGAGAGACAAAGAAGCCCAGGAGGGCATAGAGAAACCTTGAGACTTCCACGAGACAGTGGTTCCAACAGAGGGAGACCAGGGGCTATAACTAGAAAGTTGCCCAGAGGTATATTCTTGTAAATGAATGCATGGAGGTGTAACTTCAGTACCTTATTAAGCAAGCATTGTTTCTAAATCTCATCTTTCGTAAACTGAATCCAGTGCCCAGAAAGCCCAGGGATAAATCTGAGCCCTGGTAATCAAAGCAAAAGGGATGCATGAGAGATCTTGGGGTTGCTTCATAGGCTCTTTGTGGTCAGGTACAAAATTTATGCATGTATAAAAATGCAAACAGACGCACAAAAAGAAATTGAATTGTTTGTGAGTTTTATAAAACGAACTCCAGATGTTTCCTCTAGCTCCACTGTCAATAGGACCGTCTGATTTGTGTCCCAACACACGCACACATCCTGCCAAAATAAGAGTCTTCTGAGCGTTCTTTTCTCTAAGATGAGTTTCCTCTATGTAACCATGGTTGACTTGGAACTTGTCGTGTAGCCCAGGCTAGACTTGAACTAGTTCATTATCATCGATCGTAGCAGAGAGCATGGTAGCAGGCAGGCCTGGGTTGGAGAAGTATCTGAGAGTTACATCTGGGATCTGTAAGCAGAGACAGGCAGGCAGGCAGGCAGGCAGGCAGACAGACACACAGACAGAGACGGGTGCGGGGAGGAGCCTTGATCTGGCATGGGCTTTTGCCCATGGCCCAGCTAGTGAAGGCTCTTTGATGTCAAGCCTGAAGACCTGAGTTGGATCCCTAGAACCTACACGATGGAGACAGCTGACTGCTTCATGCTTGCTCCCACACATACATGCCCACAAATATAATTAAATTTTATTTTTAAAAGCCTCTGATTGTATGCGTATCC